TACAAAATTAATACACAGAAATCTATTCCATTCTTATATACTAATGATGAACTAGCAGAAAGAGAAATCAGGAAAACAATTCCATTTACAATTGCATTAAAAATAATAAAATACCTAGGAATAGACCTAACCAAGGAAGTGAAAGACCTATACCCTGAAAACTATAAGACACTATTGAGAGAAATTAAAGAAGACACTAATAAATGGAAATACATCCCATGCTCATGGTTAAGAAGAATTAATATTGTCAAAATGGCCATACTGCCTAAAGCAATCTAGAGATTCAATGCCATCCTTATCAAAATACCAAAAGCATTCTTCAATGAACTGGAAAAAATAGTTTGAAAATTCATATGGAACCACAAAAGACCCTAAATAGCCAAAACAATCCTTAGAAGGAAGAATAAAGAGGGGGGGATTATGCTTCCCAACTTCAAACTCTACTACAAAGCCACAGTAATCAAGACAATTTGGTACCGGCACAAGAACAGACCCATAGACTAATGGAACAGACTAGATAGAGAGCCCTGATATAAACCCAAGCATATATGGTCAGTTAATACACAATAAAGGAGCCATGGATATACAATGGGGAAATGACAGCCTCTTCAACAACTGGTGTTGGCAAAACTGGACAGCTGCATGTAAAAGAATAAAACTGGATTATTGCCTAACTCCATACACAAAAGTAAACTCGAAATGGATCAAAGACCTGAATGTAATTCATGAAACCATAAAACTCTTAGAAGAAAACATAGGTAAAACTCTCTTGAATATAAACATGGGCAATTTTTTCATGAACATATCTCCTCAGGCAAGGGAAACAGAAGGAAAAATGAACAAATGGGACTATATCAAACTAAAAAGCTTCACACAGCAAAGGACACCATCAGTAGAACAAAAAGGCATCCTATAGTATGGGAGAATATATTTGTAAATGACATATCCAACAAGGGGTTAACATCCAAAATATATGAAGAACTCACATGCCTCAACACTCAAAAAGCAAGTAACCCAATTAAAAAATGGGCAAAGGATCTGAACAGACACTTCTCCAAAGAAGAAATTCAGATGGCCAACAGGCACGTGAAAAGATGCTCCACATCCCTAATCATCAGGGAAATGCAAAAACCACAAGGTATCACCTCATACCAGTTAGGATGGCCACCATCCAAAAGACAAGCAACAAATGCTGGTGAGGATGTAGAGAAAGGGGAACCCTCCTACACTGTTGGTGGGGAAGTAAATTAGTTCAATCACTTTGAAAAGCAGTATGGAGGTTCCTTAAAAAACTAAAAATAGAAATACCACTTGACCCAGGAATTCCACTCCCAGGAATTTACCCAAAGAAAACAAGATCCCTGATTCAAAAAGACATATGCACCCCTATGTTTATCGCAGCACTATTTACAATAGCCAAGAAATGGAACCAACCTAAGTGCCCATCAGTAGATGAATGGATAAAGATGATGTGGTACATGTACACAATGGAATATTATTCAGCCATAAGAAGAAAACGAATCCTATCATTTGCAACATGAATGGAGCTAGAGGGTATTACACTCAGTGAAATAAGCCAGGCGGAGAAAGACAAATACCAAATGACTTCCATCATTTGTGGAGTATAACAACAATGCAAAAACTGAAGGAACAAAGCAGCAGCAGACTCAACAGAACCCAAAAATGGACTAGTAGTTACCAAAGGAATAGGGGTTGGGGAGAGTGGGTGGGAAGGGAGGGAGAAGGGGATTATGGGATATTATGAATTAGCACATGTAGTATGGGGGGCACGGGGAAGGCAGTACAGCACAGAGAAGATAAGCAGTGACTCTATAGCATCTTACTATGCTGATGGACAGTGCCTATAATGGGGCATGTGGGGGGGACTTGATAATGGGATTGTAGTAACCACAATGCTGCTCATGTGAAACCTTCGTTAAGGATTGTATATCAATGATACCATAATAAAAAGAATGTGACCTATTCCTTCAGAAGGAGATATGAAAAATAACACAGACTATTATTCATGACAAGTAACACAAATTATTTAATTCTAGGAGTACTCCCTAGGAAAATACCAATATGTGTGCCGACAGCAGGGGGAGGTGGAATTTAAAGATCAACTTATGAGAATGGAAGGTTCTCCGAAAAAGAAACAGAAAACTAGACAAAAACAGAAAAATTTACCAGCTCTTTTCTATGAATACATACCAATACCAGTGACCGACGGCCAGGTAGCCCCTGCATTATGGCAGACTGGGTGTCTAAAATGTGTTTGTTTTTCAATTAATAAAGGGAAGAGTTTTACTTTTGCCCGGCTTAAAGAAAAGAATTCTGGCAGTCACAGCAGTGAATTCTCATATGCTGTTTCTGCGCTCTTGCTCCGTGATGCTGGGGGTGATTCTTAGGAGCAGCCTGTGGATTCAGAGCACTTTGGCTTTCTGCTTCTTGTTAGCAGAGTTTTTACAGTAGAGTTGTTTACTGGTATGTAAACAGAGTACTAGGAGCTAAGTGCTTTGATCCAACTATCCTTTTTTTTTGGAGTTTTAAGAATGTTTTCCAGGTTTGTACTTATGGCTTTTCCCTTCTTATCCAGGATTTATTACACAAAGTTTATCTTTTTAATTCAGTGAATGAATAATTCTTTTATTTCTATTCTTTTAAAGTGTAGATATTTCCCAATTCCATTTGGTTTAACTGTCAAGTAAAAAAAAAACATAATTGCAGACACCTGACTCAGTGCAGAGTAACACCAGTCAGGGGGACGTCCTTCTGGTTTTGATTTCAAAGCCATCAACGAGCGAGGCTCCTTTGTCTCAGAACATGAATCAGCATGTAGCGAAGCTGAGTTTAAACCTCTACTCTAGATTCTGAGTAACAGAGAACTAAGCAGGGTACTGTTTGCTCAGTTTTAGGTTATCTGTGATTTACTCAGCTTTGTTAGACAATAGGGGCTTTGGTTTAGTTATATTTTTAACATTCCTTAAAATAAATCAAAGAGTGTTCCCATTTTGGTTGTGGATTATTATGGTGGCAGGAAATGAAGAATTTACGAGGGCTGAGTATCCAGAGATTATGTGCTCGACTCTGGGCTGGATTGCCATGGTTAGTATTTTTTTTGGTTGTACATAATAGAAACTGGCTCTGGCTAGTTTAAGGGAAAAAAGTAAGTGGTCCTGGCATAGGGGAAGAGTATTTAGATAGGCAGGGATCAGGGCCCTTGCGACCTCAGAGGTAGAGTTCATGTCTGTCTCCCCAGGGTAAAGTAACTGAAGTGTCTCATCTATGACCCTTAACAGGAGGCCTAGCTGGGGTCAAGTATTCACCTGGGGGTTAGTCAGGTCACAGGGGCAGAATAATATTGTTTAGCAATTGTTTGTGGGCAATCACACCTGTATTTTGCAGGCAGTTCCCAGAGAAAGGGAAATTATTGTGAACTGGTGGTCACGCTAGTGAGGTCTACTATAAGGGGTATTTTACAAACTTAATGTCTTTACAAAAAGCCTGTCAAAATCACTATTTCCACCTCACAAATGAGAAAACTGAGACTCAAACTGGTTAGGCAATTTGTCCAACACCCTGCACCTAGAATGTGTCAGAGCTAGGATTCCCACTAGGTTAGTAAGGGGGCCTAGTGTCCTTCTTAAAAGGTTAAGATAATGTGGTAAGACTACAAGATAGGAACTTCCGGAAGGTTTCTCATGGACAGAATATTAGATAAATCCAGGGCACCAGAAAGAGCAAAAACTATGTGTTGAAAGCTCTGGAATCCCAACTGTACCTGGTCCCCAGGGGCAAATAAACACTTAACCCTCTCCACTAATAAATGTGGTGTGTCCTCCCCTTCACAGGGTTATTGAGATAACAGGTGAAAAGAGCTGGCATAAAGAAGTCATTTTTGGGGGAAGGAACTTTTCTATCAAGCATACTACTAAGAATGCACTGTCTGATCGTGGCTTTATCATTCAAAACATCTAACGGTTCCCTTACTTTCCGCTTTTCAAATGGTGCCTTATTCAACATAAAGATCGGAAATGCTCTGTAAGAAGAGTTAAGGAAACCATATAATGGACAAAGAAAATCTTAAATATAAAACATTTGACTACTCTTTGAGACTTTGGGCTCATGTTTTTCAGGGAAAAACTCTTACCTTTGGTCAGAGCACAGCACTTAATCATCGAATTCTCTCAGTGACTACTACCTGAGATGGCCTATGTACTTCCGGTAAGCAGAGCAAAATCCGAATACTATTCTCCATGTGGAAATCTCTAACCTGAACACCACTGAAAAGATTATTAGCTTATTCAGTTTGGAAGGATTAATGTATTCAATTCTATGCCCAGATGATTATTCTGAGTTATCTTTAAGGTCAGCTTTGTGGAAAAAAAGCAATCCAAGAGTTTATTATTGGGCATGCTGGGTGTTGTGCAAATAGTCATGGACTGATAGGTATCAATTTGTTCCAAGTTACTTTGGGCAACAATTAGTCTATATCAACAGCAAAGGTGTGACCCCAAATGGAAGAAGAAAAAATCATTCTGTGGTGGTAAGGGGTGAAAGAGCAGTGCAGACTATTATATTCTCTTGACATTTCTACTATCTCTGCATCTAAGTCTTTCTGAATCAGTTTCAGTGACCTCTGTGCTCTATTTTCATCTAAAATGAAGTAACTTGTAAAATGCCCTATCATTTTAAATTTGATGACAGTCAAGTGATTTTAATATGACCAAAACATTGTGTTACTGGCTCGCTCCTGAATTAAAAGCCAGGACCTCCCCTTTTTACTGTGCTGCACTTAAGTCAGTGGCCTACTTGCCTTATTTCTTATTTAATTTGTAAGAGAAAACTAAGCAGTCATTAACATTTAAAGAATCTTGGTAAATACTATTGTAAATATTTAGGGGGATCCATGGATATAGAAGTTTAAGTAAGAAAAAATTTTAAAGAAGAAAACCACTTAATTTTTTTAAAAGGATTAAAGAAGAGAAGTAATAACCAAATACAATTTTGCAGCTCGTTTTATTACACCGAGAAATCCCAGCAAAGTACAAAGCCCATGAAAGTAGAAGCATTTCAGAAAACAAGACAAATTCTTTGCATACCTGTTAATGACATTTGAGTTTTGACATTAAAAAAACTCATGATTTTGCATTGAAGTATTACTGCTTCGAATTAAGTACATATTTTTAGTTACATTCTCTTTCTAGACAGTGAGTTCACCGTAAGAAAAATGACTTTATTGATTTATACTGACTTTGAAGAACAAAAATAGGAAATAAGCATATATTACAAACATACTCCTTTAAGTGGTATGTCAGATTAAAGTTGAACTAACGTTCAGTGTTTGTAATTGTTACCAGTGAAAATACATAGATTTCACTACAGAAAAGAGGTCTGGTAATGTCAGAATGTTCTCCATCAGAGCGGTGCGCTCGTTCCAAGCCACACGGATAAAAAGGTGATGCTGAAGTCCATGCTGTCGCCATCCTCAAAATCCAACAAATGATCACATTCGCAGCAATCTTACTAAGAGTCTGTGATATTATAAATAAGGATATTTACTCTCTTTGCCAATTACAGTATTAACAGGCCACAAGGTGGTATAAAGTTTACTTAATTAACTCATGGCACTGTGGCAATTTTGAATGGTTTTTGGGTCTCATCATACTTTCTGTTGCTATTACTACTAATAAAATGATAGTAAATGAAAAGGAGAAAACAAAGAAAATAACTTAGATCTCTTGATAGTTCTAAATGTTTTGTTTTGGTTTACTCTTAAAGTGGAAATCAAGATTTGGAAAGAAAACAGAAGCATCTTTATAATTCACAGCGTGTATTTCAGAGGCCTAATGATTCATCCATTGCCAGTGTGGGTTCACTTGTCATGTCCGCTTTATTCAATGTCAACTGGTTCCGTAGCTATTAAAGCACTTAACTGTTTCTGAGCACAGGAGAGGAACAGTTCCAGGCTGGACAAGCTTCTTTGGCGGATGACTTGATCAAGCTGTTTGTTTTGTTGTTGTTTTTTAGAGAGAGAGAGAAAGAGAAAGAGAAAATACACTTAGTTGAGGGATAAACAATATGATGTCACTGAAGCCTACTGGAGAAGAGAGAAATCTTCTCAGATAATGATTTAGAAAATCAAGTAAGTGCTTTTAACTCAGAGACAGTGCAGTCACTCATTATCATATTTCTAGCTTATTATCCAAGGTGGGCTGATAATCATTGCAAGTTTATAATTGTGGTATATTTATGATTTTGGTATTCAGTTATTGGAGAAATATCAGAAATTTGGTAAGAGTGATTTTTAAAAAATACAAAATTGCACAAAAATGCCAGTTCTTAATGAAAATACAGACCACACATCACAAAGATCATGTAAATATAACAGAGGCAAAAAACAAAAGAAAAACAACATTATTACCTCATGCATAGGGTTGAAAAGCACAAAGGATAAGAAGGGGGATAAACAATTTCCCAAAGTTACAGAAAGTTCTTGGGCAAGGTGTACTTCAAGAAAAATCTGATACTGTTGAATCTTATCTGACGTGTTTTTCCAGCTGAGTTAGAGATTCCTTATTAGGATTGTAATATCAAAAACAAATTAATATAGTGAACAAACCAAGTAGTTATAAAAGTTGTATAATAAAGAACTTTCTGGATGGTAGGGAGTGCTGAGTACAGTAGTTTCCTCTTATCGGTGGTTTCGCTTTCTGCAGTTCAGTTGCTCGAGGTTAACCGAAGCCCAGAAGCAGACGATCCTCCTCCCACCCTGTGGTCGGAAGGGCGGCAGCGGCCTGCACGCTGCATCACAGTGGCTGTGCCATTCACCTCACTTCATTTAATCCCGTGGGCATTTTATCATCTCACGTCATCACAAGAAGAAGGTGAGTACAGTACAATAAGGTATTCAGAGAGAGACCACATTCATGTAACTTCTTTTACAGCATAGTTGTAATTGTTCTATTTTATTATTATTGCTGTCAATCTCTTACTGAGATGAAGCTTTATCATATCTTTATTATCTCTTACTGACAATTAAGCTGTATCATAGGTATGCATGTATAGAAAAAACATAGTATATATAAGACTCAGTACTAATTTGTGGTTTCAGGCATCCATGGAGGGTCTAGGAAGGTATCCCCCGTAGATAAGGGGGCACTGCTGTACTCAAGAAAAGTTTCTAACTTTTTGCTGCCATAAAAAATTTTCTCCTGGTGTAAAAATAACCAATGACAACACGTTGCCTACCGGTTACAGAGCAATGGAAGAATCCAAAAGAAAGCCAAATAAATTCCTTTTCACAATATTTACCTGTCATATTTATATAAAAGTTGACATATTCCTTCCCACAATCTCCCCCAACATAAAAGAAAAAAAAAATGAATCTAAATAAGAATTCTCTGTTAAATTACATCTCTATGAGCCACTGATATTTAAAATGACTGAAAACTGGAAGATTAAGATTCTGAAGTATCCTAAGAATTAATCTGAAAAGAATACATTATAACTACTAAGAACTCCCTATCAACTGCTAGGACTCCCTTCAACCCTAACACTTCGGGGGTTTAATATACATGCAGGAATAGGACTTCTGCTTATCCCTTTTCCTCTCTTTTTTTCCCATTCTCTCTCAGGTGATATCTTTATGTGAATATTTACCTTCTGCTTACAAGACCCTGTGAAACAATACAGTTCATTACACTATAAACCCAATGAGCAGAAATCTTGCCTGTCTTGGGGACTATGTACCTTAGCATCTAGAAAAGGGTCTGGCATTTAGACACTCAGTATATATTGGCTGAGATGGAATGAATCAATAAATACCTCTAATAGAGCAAGGCAATCTCCTAGGAAATGACAGATGCACTTTTCATTCTAAAAGTGAAAACATGCTAACCTAATCCAAAAGATGTGTAGGGTATTATAGTCGAATTATTACAAGGTTCATTTTAATATGTAAAACACTGAGATCTAAATATTTGCCTTTTGAAAGGTTATTTTATACTTGGTCCAAATTCAAATAGTACAGAAGAGTTCCAGTCCATTCCCAGGGGCTTCTGTTTACTTTTGGATGCTTTCAAGCATTTCAAGACAGGTTTTTAAAAATATGTGGTTGAGATCTTATACTTGCAAACTATGGGAGGGTTCACACAATCACTTTGTTTCACTGCCACTACTGGGAATTTCCCTGTCTCATTTTTAAGAAATTATCTGACTGTACTCCATGATATGTTTGGCCACTTTCCCATTGATAGACATCTAAGTTATTCCACTTCCATCTTGTTTCTGAAGCACCAAGGACATTTACGATCTGAGTACATTCCATTCAGAAGATGTTCAGGGGTTTTTCTTACGATTCTAATATGTGGAATTTCTATGTCACTAGACTGGTATATTTCAAAATGTGACAGATATTGCCAAACTACTTTCCAGAATGAGGGTACCAATTTCCCAGTCCCATCTGCAATGCATGAGAGGACCCCCTTTCCCTAGTTTCTTCTTTTTAAATGGCTGTATAGTTGCCCACTGTCCATTTATAATTGAATACATGTAATGGATATTTTATAATTTAAAACTTCTTCTATTGACACACATTTGGATTGTTCCTAACCTTGTTATTATAATCCATATTGTAATGAGCATTCTTTAATACAGATCTATGCATACCTATGCTAGTATATATTGTAGAAATTGCTTAAGCCAAAGAGTATGTCATCTGCAATGTTACTTCCATGGTAAATCAGGTTTTCATATATGTATCTATCTATCTTTGGGCTCTCTAGTCTGTTCCCATAGACAATTCACCTACCCCTACAAAAATATAATGCTGTCTTAATTACTAAGACTTTGTGATAAATGTTAATATATTACCAATCATACCATCAAATATTTTAGGAGAATATAAATTAGTGAACACTTGTAATGAAATTGAATTTAAAAGTAAAAAGACTATACATAGTCTGATACCCCTTTTCCATAGCAAAATTCAAAAGTTTATTATTTTGAGTTACATGGCAATAAAACATTTCTGTTTAAGCCAGGAAATCCACAATCAAAACTGGAGATAGAGTTGTATTTGGAGCTGTACTTGGGGGGTAGAGTCAGGCACAAAGAGATACACAGATTCATCTTGCAAGTGGCTTCATGAATGTTTGTTTTATTATACTTTGTAACTTATGTGCATATATGTTAGCTTTAATAATTCAAAGTCTTTTAGAAGCTGCCTAAAACTGTTGAAAGGCATTTAAAGCATAGATGAAATTGCCTAGGAAATTAATGTAGGTAAAAGAGAAAAGGTCAGAAGATGAAGCCCCGGGGCACTGAGACACATGACCTGTCAAAAGAGCAGCGACATACGAGGCTTGACAGATAATGACCGTTACTGTAAGGGGCTGAACTGTGTCCCCCCAAAACATATGTTCAAGTCCTAAGCCCCCGTCCCTGTGAACATGACCCTATTTGGAAATGGGGTATTTATTTGCAGATGTAGTTAAGATATAAGTTGAGAGGTCAGTCTGGATTAGGATGGCCTCTAAATCCAGCCCCTGGTGTCCCTATAAAAAAGGCACCAAAACAGAAACCACCTCAGGAAGACCCCCACGTGAGGATGGAGGCAGAGACTGGGTGACGCAGCTGCAGACACGGAAATGCAAAGGACAGCCGGCAACACCAGAAGGCAGGGGACAGGCACAACAGAGCGTCCGAGGCCTTCAGAGAGAGCACAGCCTGCCGACACCTGGACTCAGACTTCCTGCCTCTAGAACCGTGGCCGAATGCGTCTCTGTTGTGTCAAACCACCCAGAGTAACCATCCCCTTGGTCACAGCAGCCTTAGGGGACTACTGGCGAGGGTTTTTCCAGACTGCAGAGGCCCTTCTACACCAGAGGAGTGTTTCTCACAACGTGTAAGACACCATTTCTATGCAGCACATTTTCTATTTAAACAGCAAACAAACAAACAGTATTTTCAGTCAGGTAAGCTTGGGAAATGCAGGATCGAGAAAGCTTCCTTTCTATGGGGCTTCTCGAAGCTTCTGTGCTGGTGAGCGTTCTGAATTGCCAGATTGGCTATAGGATCGGTATGTTTCTCAAACTGTTTAAACCCTGGAATTGTATGTGCCTATTTACATAAAGCATTCTTTGGAAAATGCCCACAAATTGATTTTTTTTGAGAACTTCCCTTGACTCAAATTGCAGATACAGGGAGAAGACTGCTCTGATTCAGTATCTCCTTAATAACAAGCAATCATGGAATTTTAATTGTGAGAAACTTCTTAGTTGAACATCTACCTTTTATGGTTGTGGAAAACTGATGCTGAGTAGTTAAGTGGCCAATTTCACAAACCTATTATGTCCTCTTATACTTGAAAAATAAAAAATATATATATATCTTTAAAATGTTTAAATATAAACACAAATTTATCTTTGCTTAAGAAACCCTACTATGCATCATACAGATACTAGGGCCTCACTAGGTTTTTGACAATGAACAGATTAGATGTATACCCAGATGACAAGTATTACAGCCAGAAAGGGGCTGAAGACCACTCTGGGTGCTATGACCACTCTTAATGTCAATGGAGACATGGGACTAAGGGTCATTATTAAAACTTAATATGCAAACATAACTGTATGACCTGGTTCATTTTATGAAATCATCCATATGAGGGCCGACAGGCTTGAAGAAAATTAAGTTACTGGGAGGTGACTATTTTTATTGTGATACTTAAACATTTTTGCTCCAAATACCACCATCTTTACTTTGCTCCTTTATCATCAAATTCTGCTTCTCATCATTCAGCCTAATAAATTTAGACTTACCTGTAACATCACTAGTTGCATTAATAGAGTTCTGTAGTATCTGTTTTATTACTGGCATACTAACAACTATAAACAGTTTCTTCTTTAAAATAGCCTTTTAAAAAATATTTTCAGATCATTAAATTTGATTGTGAGATAAATAGATTGGATATAAACTTAGGTTTGGACATGAAATTCTCTC